CTCTGCTTTCACCATTTAACAGTTCCTCCTCATAAATATTTATTCCCTCTGCCACAAGAGACGCGCTGTGATTCGGGGTTTTGTCTGTGTCTATGTATAGCACACTGACAGTGACATTTATCAAACGAGACAATTTTCTCGTTGTGTTTGAAAATGGTTCTGGGAGCTTTTATTTTTGATCTCTGGCTAGTTGCTGGATTTCAAATCTCAAGTTGTTGAAACGTGTTGTACAGCTGCAGTTTGTCTCAGCTCACCAGCTACTATCACTAATTGTTCTTTTCTGTCTTTATTTTACAGAGCCCAAGCTCGATGAAGGCGCCAAGTGAATGCTTTCCATGTTGTAAATCTCCTACATGTCACAAATATGTTGTATTTAATAAAAAGATAGTGGGTTGAACCATGACAGGTGTCAATTTTTTATGCTAAAATTAGGCAGTTATTTCAGTTTGCATCATATTTATGTTTCTAAAGTGGCATAGATATACTCTGACTTTTTTATGAGGGGTTGGTATATGGTGTGACACCGAGGTGAGACACCTGCCTCGCTGCAGAGCAGTGTTCAAGACCAACGCACGACAAAACTGGTTTCTTAGTGAGTTAGTGCTGCAGTTTTTTTGCAGCTTTTAGGCACCAAACCTGGCTGTTTTTTCCACCAACTAGTGCCACAAAGAGCAGTTATTTTCCACCAAGACATCGCTGTGTTTGTCGCCATGATTCTCTGTTAATGAGTCAAAATATTTTCAGATACAGCCCAGTGCTCTGAGAGACATATCTACTGTGACTGATCCAAGGGTTTATACTCAACACTGCTCATGTAATTTGTTCGACCAATCATGCCCAGCTCAGCTCCAGTTAGTGTTAATTAAGACAGTAGGCCCCACTGTGCAGGCACAAGGTGAAACTAGTGCTGTTCATGGCGTGCTGCAAGGAAACTAAGTAACAAGTGACCTTTCTGTCAGAAACAGAGTTCAACAGAGAGACATTAATTAAACTCAACACTATGCACACGTGATTTTATGGAAAAATATGTGGTTAATTGCCATGACTGCACTGCTGCTGCCATGCACTGTGAATAGCTGCAGGTGTTAACATTTAAGGCTCGATGTGCGTTCAGTCTGCTTGGATTGTAGCATTCAGGGAACATAAGGTGAACTACAGTGAATTTATATGCAGGTATTTGAAATTCATCGATGATAAATCCCAGTCAGGCAAATATTGGTTGACCTAGATGTGAACATTGCTGTCACTCTAAATCAGTCTTGAGCATTCATTATGAAAAGGTCATAAATGCATGTAAGCTCTCCAGGATTAATATTTGAAACCTAAAAATAGCGTCAGAAAGGCTACGTTTCCATCTGACCTGATGCCTAAAGTTTTAGAGATTGTGCAGTGAAGCTTAAACATGGAGCTAGTAAACAGCACGTGGCTGCATGCGGAGTCTGCCGGGAGGCCCTGGATGTTCTGTTAACAAACCTTGATCTTACCATTTCTGTTGATGTGGTTTAAGTGGTGAAGACTTAACTCAGATCTGTTAATTACAAGTAGCAGTACCACAGTGACAGGTGTAAGTCATGCGTTCAAAGTAAGTATTAGCAATTTTCACTTAAAGGGGTGGTTCAGGTTTTTTGATGTGGGGTTATATGGGGTGCTTATCCATAGATAATTTATTATCTGCCTATACCTACCTATTAAGTCGTAAATCTACAAGAAAAAAATCATAAATCCACAAAAGAATAAAGTCATTAATCTACAAGAATACAGTCGTAAATCTACAAGAATTAAGTCGTAAACCTACGAGAATAAAGTCGTTAATCTATGGGAATAAAGTCGCTAATCTAAGAATTTTTTTTTATAAATCCATGAGAATGAAGTCATAAATCTAAAAGAATAAAATCGTTAAGCAACGAGAATAATGTCGTAAATCTATGAGAATAAAGTTATAAATCTATGAGAATAAAATCGTTAATCTATGAGAATAAAGTCATAAATCTGCGAGAATAAAATCGTTAATCTACAAGAATAAAATCCTTAATCTATGAGAATAAAGTCATAAATCTGCGAGAATAAAATCGTTACTCCACGAGAATAAAGTCATCGATCTATGAGAATAAAATCGTTAATCTACGAGAATAAAGCCATAGATCTACGAGAATAAAGTCATAGATCTATGAGAATAAAGTTATAAATCTATGAGAATAAAGTTATAAATCTGAGAATAAAATCGTTAATCTACGAGAATAAAGTCATAGATCTACGAGAATAAAGTTATAAATCTACGAGAATGAAGTCATAAATCTATGAGAATAAAATCGTTAATCTACAAGAATAAAGTCAAAGATCTACAAGAATAAAGTTAGAGATCTATGAGAATAAAGTTATAATTCTATGAGAATAAAATCATTAATCTACGAGAATGAAGTCATAAATCTACGAGAATAAAATCGTTAATCTACGAGAATAAAGTCATAGATCTACGAGAATAAAGTCATAGATCTACGAGAATAAAGTCATAGGTCTACGAGAATAAAGTCATAGATCTACGAGAATAAAGTCATAGGTCTACGAGAATAAAGTCATAGATCTACGAGAATAGTCATAGATCTACGAGAATAGTCATAGGTCTACGAGAATAAAGTCATAGATCTACGAGAATAGTCATAGATCTACGAGAATAAAGTTATAAATCTGAGAATAAAATCATTAATCTATGAGAATGAAGTCATAAATCTACGAGAATAAAATTGTTAATCTACAAGAATAAAGTCATAGATCTACGAGAATAAAGTCGTAAATCTACAGAGTATTACGAGATTAAAATTGTAATTTAGGAGAAAAGAAGTCACGAATTAAGACTGGAAAGTCGGGTAACATGGTATAAATAGTGACAAAGTGTGTACAAACAGTGACAGTAAATCACGGTGTGGTCGCAGGGCACGTCCCCCCTCAGTATTTAGAACATGTGCATTAGTCCCCCCCAGTAAAAACATGAAAGTTGCGGGAAATAAAATGTTTTGATGCTCAAAATTTTCTGGCAGAGACAAGAACCCCAAACCCCTATTTCATGTGTTCCCATCAAAGTTGAAACAAAGGTACATTTCCCTTTGAAATGTTGGGGATAATAAGTGAAGCATAAGTTAAGTACAAGTACCTCCACTTTAAACCTAAGTACAGTTATGGAGTAAATGTACTTTCCACCACAGGTTTGGTCAAATCCCGCTTAGTCCATACTGGCAGAATTTTTAAAAAAATCAAGCGTGGAGACCCGAGGAAGTCAAAGCATTTTACTTCTTGTGTTCACTCTTAAATATTAAACTGTAATTTGGGGACTGAACCCTTGCTCCCGTGCACTGAGCTAAAGCCGTCTGTCAACCTGTCTCCGATTCTACATGCCTGTCAGCAGCAAATGCACTTGAAAGATTAATGTATAGTCCTGCAAGCCAAACCAGTGCGCCTCAGCGTTTCCCTCTGTGGGCGCACAGAGGAGTCTTTCAGCATGTGTGTGATGATTTGCAGATGAAGAAGATGCAGTTAGTTTAAGGAGTAAGGCGATACCAATGCAGTATGTCACAAAAACCAAACAGTTCATTGGCTTCAGTAGCAGACAGAAGTCATATTAATATGAACCTGTCAGTTAATTTCTTCCTGGGTTTTTTTTTTTTTTTTTTTAAAAAAGTCTTATCTTAAAGGACAGTTCACCCCAAAATCAAAACTAAACTTTTTTCCTCTTGCCTGTGTTGTGAGCAGTTTCATGAAGGAACTATTTTCTTTCTACCAATCTACATTTACCAAAGGAAGCGTGCATCTACTGCTAGCTCTCCTAGCACCACTGAGCAAGCTAACGTTACAGTTCAGCCAAGGAGGACGCCATTACATTTTGCACTGTCACAAACCTCTCGTTCATGAGTAGATGCACACTTCCTTCTGCACTGTGTTCGGCAGAAAGAAAATAGTTCACAACAAGGTCTGTGGATTATCTTGAGTAACCGGGTCATGATTTCTGGAAAGAGACATTGCTGTTGAGTTTTTCCAAATGTATGTTCGTGGCGCTTTGAGCACCACAAGCCGAGCATCCTCTTGTTCGATTATATTGGAGAAAAGGACAACATCTCTATGGCCGATACCTCTGATACTTGACAACTTGCACCAAAACTATCTAGACTGACAAACAGCACTACAGGTAAGAGGAAAAATGTGTATTTCATTTGGGGTTTAACTGTCCCTTTAAGCTATAATAATATAATCATACAAAATTTCGAAACTTCAAGACTTTTAAGGACCCATAAACTCAACGTCAGCGAGCTAGCATACCGGACGGAGAGATGGAACGCTAGGAGAAAACGAAGAATCGTACATGATGATAAACGAAACATCACACATTAATGCATTTTACATTGAAAGCTACAGAAAATAAATTTGCTGCTATGTTACATCACGTGGAAGGTTATCAACAGAAGATTACTGCAACAAGTTCATTACACACAACAAAATTTGATGACCTTGCCGAAACTTTCAAAGATTTCTTGGAATTCCGTGACTTTTTCAAAACTTTCAAAGATTTCTTGGAATTCCGTGACTTTTTCAAAACTTTTAAAGATTTCTTGGAATTCCGTGACTTTTTCAAAACTTTCAAAGATTTCTTCGAATTCCGTGATTTTTTCAAAACTTTTTAAAGCTTTCTTGGAATTCTGTGACTTTTTCAAAACTTTCAAAGATTTCTTGGAATTCCGTGCCTTTTTCAAAACTTTCAAAGATTTCTTCGAATTCCGTGACTTTTCCAGGCCTGGAAAATGTGACTGTGAAATTCTATGGCTTGTCCAGGTTTTCCATGACCTTGGGAACCCTGATAATAATAATACATCATGTTGGTTTTATTTTGTATTAATAATCAAAATCAGCGAAGTAGTAGCAGAAAATAGAAATACTCCAGTATATTTACCTCAAGTACAGCAAGTAAATGCACTTTGCTTGTTTGCGATCGCAATAATAACGGCAAGTACGGCTTTGAATAGAAAACCCTTTTATTACTGATACACCATTCAAATAAAACTCTGAACAACCCATTCACACACTGTCTAAAAACAGACACTCCATTTTGATAAAACGTTGACAAACAGTGGCACAAAAATATAAAGACAGAAAAAAGTAAGGCAAGTTCTTTACAAAAAAGTGAGATCCTTAGATAAATATGACAGACAAATTAAAAAGGCACAAGGTATATATATATATATATATATGTATATGTGTATGTTTATATATAAAAAGACCATGCAGGCACATTAGGATGGAACGGGGTTGGTCTCAATATAATCAGCTGAAGTGGCTTCCTGTTGTCCTGGACTGGCTTTGTCTGGTGTTGTGTTGTTACTAAGATCATGGGGATCTTGCGGGGCCCGTGGGAAGCTTGGGGCCCCAGTGTTACAGAAGACAAAACATTGGCAGATGCTGAGGTAAACTGCATTTTCGTTTGAGTAGATTGAAAACAATGCTTTCTCTATGGCTTTAAGCAGAATTCCCTCTTTTAAAACAAATGAATCCTTTAAATTAAACAGTCAGTCTTTGGTAGAAAACAAAAAGCAACGGTAGTTTAAACAATTGGCCCGCAGAGGGAGGAAACAAAGTGTGTAGAAAGCTCCACTGGTCCCTGGATCATTCAGAAAAGATCAATTGGAATTTCTTCATCTGACCACCAGGGGGGAGCAGAACGCCACAAAACTGTACTTAATCCCATTAGAGCAGAAAACGTCAATGACTGAGGCGACCCACACAATGCAAAGAAAGAGAGGAAGAAGAAGCCTTGCCATCCAAAAAGGAGTGGTAGAGGAACAAGATTGAAATTAGCATGTACTGGAAGATGAAGAGCTCATTCAGAGTCCAGAGAGATAATAAATCCAGTGTTTGGCACCTTATCATGAGGGCGATGTGTTCTCAAAGGAAGGCCAGCTTCTCAGAGCATGAATGACTGGGTGTGTTTGAAATCCTGGGGCTGCAGGGGGGAGACAGAAAAAAATAAATGCTTTAAGTATTGAATTGTTTTCCGGTTTCAGAATTATGGCTCTCAAGGTGATGGTGGCGTGATTTCAATCAAAAACACAGCAACATTCATTAGGTAAGTACGAGCTGCTCATGCTTAAGTCAGCGCTTTGCTCATGTCACCACTCGGAGCTTAACATGAGAGGGAGAGGAACGTGGGGACAGATGTGGGGAGGAAGAGGACAAAGGGAAAAAAGAAACACTTACTTCTTGGGGCGGAGGGATGTAGTTGACATTGGACCTGAAAGATAAAGACACGGGTAAGCACATTGGACAGTTTGACACAGTCACAAAGAAGAGAAGAAACTCGAGGCAGACAGCTGTATCCTGAGTCATATCTTGCCCTGCATAAATAATGCACATCATACATGGCAAACCTCCCACCGGGTAAAAAGGAAAGTCTGACTCTTAACTCTCACCAGCTGAGCAGGATTATATTAAGCTGGCGAAAGAAAAGCGTGGTTCAGGATTTGTGATAAACAGTTGGTATACACTGATCAGCCACTACATTAAAACCACAAGAGTGATTGTCTTGTTCCAGTGCATTGTTCTGCTGGGAAACCTTTGGTTCTGGCATTCATGTGGATGCTACTTAACATGCACCACCCATGCAGACCAAGTACCCCCCTTATGGCATCGGCCTCCCCAGCAGGTCCAGAGGAACGTGACAAAAACCTCAAGGCAATGACTTGGCCTCCGAACTCCCCAGATCCCAGTTTGATCAAGCATCCAAGGGACATGCCAGTATCCCCACCTCACAAACCCACAGGATTCAAAGGATCTCCCATCAGACTTCAAAGGGACACCCCCAGAGGTCCTGTGTCCATGCCTCGACAGGTAAGAGGCCTCACTGTGGATCGGATTTGGCACTGACCTTTTGAGGCATGGACATAGGACCTCTGGGGTAGGGGCACGACCCAGGGATGCCCGATCGGATTGGGATCTTGGGAATAGGAGGCCAGGTTGACGCCTTGAGCTCTATGTCAATGCTCCTCGGGCCATTCCTGAGCAGAGTTTGCAGTGTGGCATGGTGCAACAGAGTTTGGGAGGGGTGGTGCATGTCAAGTGGTATCAACATGAATGCCAGGAACAAAGATTTCCCAACAAAACACTGCACTGGAACAAGATGATCAATGTCAATCAATGTCTGGTCTGTCTATGGAAGCAAAAGGGGGCCAAAATAATTTTATTATCTGCTGAATATTTAAAGGAATAAATTGACATTTTGATAAAAAGGCTTTGGCTACTGTCCTGCCAGGCACCCAGCAAAGACTCTAAGAAGGCTCTGCACCTGAATGAGAAATAGTTTTGTACATTAACCCTCTCACTAAACCGCAGGTTTCACTACAAAACATCCTGTTTAGCACAGAGACTGTAAATGGTTAGCTTGGCTTTATCTAAGTTTCCAACACCTCACTAATAGGCAGATACAATGACTTCTTGGAGTCTCTGCTGGTTGCCTGACAGGACAGTCACCCAAGCACATTCACCACAGTGTCAAAGTTTTCCTTCGTTGTGTATACGATTGAAATTATTACGGCCATTGGTTGCTTCCATATCTATCCGTCAGCCTAGGGGTCACACTCACGTGTCCTCAGTTCTGTGCAGGGTTTGGCTGCTGATGTGGGCTGCACCATGACACTGGGAGATCCAAAATGACCTGTGGGGGTCAGCGTGGTGGCTTTAAAAAGGGTTAACAATGGGGGGGGGGGGGTCATTTTGGAGTCACACTGCACACCATGCTTTGATCGGTGATTGGGCAGGGGATTCATTAGTATCACTGATGTGACAGGTGTTTTGCGGTAACCCTAGTGGTGGTAACGTGCCTATGATTCATACATATGAGTCCTGTATCATAATGTGTGTGCTTGAACCATCTCTAGGGTTTACAGAGGATGATCCGAAGAAGAGAAAATATCCAGTGAGCAGCAGTTCTCTGGATGAAAATGCTTTGTTGAAACCAGAGGTCAGAGGAGAATGGCCAGACTGGTTCAAGATGATAGAAAGGCAACAGGAAGTCAAATAACCACTGGTTCCAACCAAGGTCTGCAGAAGACCATCTCTGAAGCAACAACACCTTGTCCAACCTTGAAGCAGATGGGCTACAGCAGCAGAAGACCACACCAGGTGCCACTCCTGTCAGCTAACAACAGGAAACTGAGGCTACAATTCACACAGGCTCACCAAAACTGGACAATAGAAGATTGGAAAAACGTTGCCTGGTCTGATGAGTCTGGATTTCTGCTGCCACATTCAGATGGTAGGGTCAGAATTTGGCATCATGGATCCATCCTGCCTTGTATCAACGGTTCAGGCTGGTGCTGGTGGTGTAATGGTGTGGGGGAGATTTTCTTGGCTCACTTTCGGCCTCTTATTACCTTTGGTATGTGGTGGAACAGGAACACACCACCAAGAATTAAGGCAGCTCTGAAGGCAAAAGGGGTCCAACCTAGAACTAGGAAGGTGTACCTAATAAAGTGGCTGGTGAGCGTATACCTTATGATACAGGAATCATATGCACAAGTCATAAGCACACGTAACTAGTGTTACCGCGATGAACCTGTACAGACATGCAGTCAATCGTGATGTAGCAGAGCTCAACAAAATGCTGGGGTGAGCAGGTCAAGTGGTGAGCCAATCACATGCAGCAATCCAATACCCTGATATACAGTGTCTAAATCTTACGATTCTCTTTCAAGTTTGTATCACAGCTGTGGAAGTGTCATTGAGCAAGACATAAAAGGTTCAGTTGGTAACTTCATAAAAATAACTTTCTGTCATATTTGCTGTGCCTGAATGAAGCAACCAATCAGAGCTGAGGAGTCTCTAACACAGTCTTTAAACGTCAAACTAGGCAGTGCTGATCAAATATGAATCAAGATTTGGTTACTGTATTCCCTATTTTACGCCTTAGATGTTTTCAGAAACATATTTTAGTTACTCTTTCGCCGTAACGTAAGAGTCGATATATCGATTCAGTTATCAAAGATCCAACGTCTTCGATGCAAGGTGAAAATTTCATTCTATACCGCCATCTTATTATGCCTTTATTTTGAAATTCTGTGTCACGATGAGGATAACGTTATTTACTTCAGAGTAAATCAGCAGCGTGGAAATATTTTCCATTATGGAGAAAAGACACGTCGTACCTGCCTGGATTAGCATCTCACTCCGCTAGCTTCGCTAACATTAGCTGCTCTGTTTCAACAATGTTTGGCTGAAAAAACGTGCATGCAGGCTGAAATTCAACTGTGCTGTTCTTCGGGGAGATGCAGCGACTTAAAACAATGGTGAATACGAAAAATAATAAATTTACATGTATATTTTTAAGCTATGAGTAGAGAGAAAAAGTCCGCTAGCTGCTAGGCTAATGTGTGCTACGTAAAACATGCTTAAGCTAATACGCATATGTAATCATTTCTGGCAGAATTTCAATTGAATTAAATTATCTTTTGCGGCCAAAAGCAAAAAAGAAAGGGGTGGCAGCTTCTTCTGTAACACATTATGATAAATGGGCATTTAATATCATCTCACATCGATTGTAGCCCCCTGAATCACATCGTTTCGAAATCGCATCGCAGCAGACTTTGTCATTTTGGCAAATATCGAATCGGGATTAAACCGATGATTTACACCCCTATTTGTGACCTGGAAACAGCTAAACAATACACTAAAATATGTTTCTTAAACATTAAGGCAAGAAGAGGATAATGGAGTAACAGAATCTTGATTCTTCTTTTTAATCAGCACTGTCTAGTTTCACAAGAAGTGAATGACAGCTGCATTAGAGACACGTCGGCTCTGATTGGTTGTTTTGCTGGGTATTTATTAAATAAGGCTATATATGTGTACATCTGTTTCATCTGTGACAATTTTCTCATCTATTTACAAGATGTTGTTATGAGTGACAAAAACAAATATAAGAAGTAAACGAGAATGTTCCTTCACATATCCATTTCAGACACTAGCTTGGGGAGCTATGAATATGTAATGCAACCATCAGAGTACACAGACAGCTGATAAACATTTATTTAGAGTCAGGTCTTGTTTGGAGGATCTTAAATCTCAGTGACAAACAGCCCAAATTCGCCTCCTTTTCACAGCAACCATCGACTGTAAGGACGAGCTAAAATTGGACTGTGGTCAGCGTCTAGGATGATGTAACGTTCATCCATGTAACCAGGAAACCTTGACTGTTTTTCCTCTAAAAGGCAGAGCTGAAGCCGAGATCTGCATTCCTGCTTTGTTAACTTGTGCTTACTATTGGTGCATCAGATATGGTGTCACATTGTCTTTGAGTCTTTGTGAAGAAGCCTGTTCTATAAATAGGAAGTTGACACTGACAGCTCCAGTTAGCTCAGTGGGATAAGCATCAGACTTTAACCTAGACAAAGAGCTTTCGCATCAGCTACAAGGAGAGCTCCGCAATGACTCTCCATCAAACGACGCGGGGTAACAAGCCAGTAATCAAATAACATAAAGTCAAGCGAATTAGGCCAGTCACACGAGGACATGCATTTAGGTCTCTGTGGTTTCTGACCGAGCATCCAAATGTCCTTTCGCCCAGTCATGTGTGTAAACGCACTCACATCCCTCTGTCATGCCACAGTCTCATTCTTCAATCTCTTCAATATCTAAGTAATCCATTTCAAATTACCCAACCAATCAGTTTAATTGCTTGCAATTCTTTCTACTGCCAATATTTTCCTCCTCGCTGATTAACAGCCGGTAATTATTCCATAATTATGTTGCACTGATTATTTCTCCCCCTTTGAATGTCTGCATTTTTAGACGTCTTGCTACAGTTTGACATGATCTCAACAGATATACGTCTGTAAAAAACAACCTTTTCCCATGGTTTTCACATCTGCTGGTGCCAATCACGGGACCAGCAGCAACACAGGCGCTGCCGTGGCCACAGCTGTCACTGTATACAGTCCTGACTCAGCACACAGACACGCAGTCTCGGTGCAACAACAACCCACGCAACCTCCCCCGCCTCCCGCAGTCTTAAGTGTGCAGGGTATTAGCCTGTGTTTGGTCACATCGATGGTAATGCAATCACAGAGCTCTTACCTTCCTCTGTGTCCTGCTGATGGATGAGTCAGGAGGAGAGAAAATACAGTGAATGTCAGAGTTTATGTTTTCTCAAAAAAAAGAGAAGCTATTAATTGATGTACTGATTGTGCAAGTAGACAAAGTGGTTATTTGATTGGACGAAAAAAAACAGCAAACATCCGACTAAAGAGACAAACTCACGGCTGAAGAAACCGTTGCGGTGTAAGACGAGTCCCCCGCATCCGCAGATCACAATGACCAGGCAGACCACCACCACAGCTGCCACCACGGCCGAGACGTTGACGTCCTCTGGAAGAGAGAGGGGAATAAAGACTGAGTTATGGTATGTCAGTCAAAGTACTGAAGTACTGTAGCTGTGTACATCCTTATCTGAATGTGTGAAAACATTTTGTATGAGTGCATTCAAATGTGTGAATGTGTAAGAACGTTTTGATCAAATTAATTCAAATGTTTGAATGTGTAAAAACAAAAACAAAAAACTAGACTAAGAGATTGAAAATTGGAACCTATGAGGAGATCTGTAGCTGTGCATGACAATATGTGAACAGATGATAAAGATTTGTGAGTGCATAAAGATTTGCACAAACATTACCTTTACAAAAAAGGTTTGCAGTTACTTATCTGTTTGTAGATTTAAAAAAAAAAAGAGAGCTGAAATAAATCTACGTTTACTTTTGTCCCACATTTGACACATTGAATGTGATGAATTTACTGTTTAACAGACTACAAATGAGAAGAATCAGCACGCCACGATCCCTCCGCCTCACTCCTGGCAGCTAATCTAACAGTACTTCACAGGAAGGAGAGCAGATGGCAGCTCTGGAGATGGACCTTTAGGTGGTGGCTGTAGCAGTTTGCAGTCAGTCTGCGCAAACCCCAGCTGAGGATCAGATGCCTGACCACCCCAATTCCATGCGGGATTAGCGAACTTTCTGTTGCTGCTGTTACACAAGTGCTGATTTTGAGTAACTACAGCTGCTAACTGAGGGTCCATCTGTGAAGTGGCCATTTGCTCTCTCCTTATGGGCTGGAAGTGAGGTGGAGGAATCACCAGTGCACTAGCTAGCGACTTAATCTTGTCTTATTTGTTGTCTGATAGAGTAAATTCATCAAATTCAGTGCCCCGTATCATAAACTCAGTGCCCTCCAGTGCTGACAGGGAACTAGAGCAGGGAACTTGCTTTGCCTATGGGCCCTTTAGCAAGATGATAGGATGTCAGGGGCCAGTTGCAGCAGCCCTGCACATGTACACAGGGGTGCTTCTAAGTTTTGAGGACATTCAAGGCTTAGCCCGACCTCTGTCAGGGGTCTAGGGATCCTTCCCTGGCACTTTATTTGATATACAAACTTTAATTTGATGTTTTTTTGTGCACTCTGGCTCCTAGTGTACATTAAAAGTCCAACAAAAATTCCCAATGTGAATTAATTTATTTTCACTGTACATTAGAAAATGGATGGGGGCCACTAGGCACCTAACTGGGGGCCATATATGGCTGGCAGAAAACACTGACGTGCAATACATCGTGATATGGTAGTTTTAGCTAATTAGCTAAAATTAGCTTGCTAACACGGACAAATTTCTAGCTAACATAGCAAAACACCGCCTTCAGTAGATAACATCAGCTTCATCCAGACTCACGCAGCTAGTTTGCAGAAAACTGTATCAGCTAACGTTAAGAAACAACCAACACTATGTAGCACAGCTAAGCTACAGCTAGCTAGCGCTCATATTGCTAGCTGTTTCCCAAGCAGATCTGGTTGAAGCCACAGACTCGGAGCAAAATGTCTCACCACCCTGGCTCCATGATTGATCTGTGATATTTGAATGTATTCATTCAAAATGTTGTGCACTTTCAAATATGGTCAAACACAGCTACAGTACTTTTGTCCCTATTTTGACTCCATACGTGGTGAATAGATTTTGCTATTCCCAATCTCAATTTATTGAAGCATATATGTCAAAAAGACTGGGAGATATGTGAACTCCTAACAGTGGTAACCATTAAGTCTCCAAGCATAAACAGGAAGACCGTATTTTAATTTAACTCCCATCTAATGCCTTTTCCTGTACACCAATAACATTTCCCATAATTTATTAAAAGCATAAAATGGCTGCTTGCATTAACCTAGAGTACATTATATAATTTATTAACAAGCTGATGAGATTTCCAAGCAAAGCAGCATGATTTTACACCCTGTAACTTGTCCCAAAATGGACACAGTAGTAGCCCTTCGAATTTTAAGTACATTTCTAAATGGGGTTTCAGATTTTAGAAGCAGGGTGGATTAAGTTTAGGAGGCTTTTCCTCTCCACTGCATCCCTGATTTTCTCCAGTGCTGAAAGGTGTGTTGAAGAGGCAGGAAGAAGAGTGGAAACACACACATAAAACACACACACCTATCGTCATGTGCTTGCCCTCGCACATCTTGGGCAGTCCCACTCCGTTCGAAGCCAGGCAGCTGTATCGACCGGTGTCCTCTTTGGCTACTGCTTTAAACTCCTGCACGAGAGACAGAGAGGGAGGGAGGAAACCTTTATGGTGATGGCTTCAGCTTTCAGTTGAAGCATTTGTTCTACTGAAGTGTCCTTGAGCAAAAAAACGCTACCTACTATCCAACCAGGGAGCGCTCAACAAAAACTGACAGCATCATTTTCTTGTTTTAAAAGCACATGATACTGCAAGGAGACAATGTGAACTATTTCCCAATCTGTGGACACACATGCTCACCAGTACTCCTGTGCGTGAGTTGATTAGATAGGTGGCGTTGGCATTGCGTGGCGGGCTGATCTGCTGGTTGTCCTTGTACCAGGAGTATGTCGCAGGCGGGATGCTGTGCCGGTCCCTACAACGCAGCTGCACCACTGAGCCTGTCACTGCCCCGCTGGGGATTTCACAGGACGGGGTCTGAGGGGGCACTGGATGACAGGACAAGTTGGGAGTTAAAGACACATCAGCGAAACCTGGAAAAACAAGCCAGTCTCTTAAACCTTTAAGCTGTAATTAGGGATTCTCTTTCAGTCGTACCCAGGACTTTGAGCGTTACATTGGTCTCGCCCAGGTTGACGGAGTCATGAGGAGCACTGATCTCACAGCGGTACTCCCCAGCGTCCTCCTGGGTCACGCCTCTCAGCGTCACAGTGGCCCCGTCAATGGTCGCTCGGCCCTCAAAGGGACCTGAAAGAAAGGACAGAAGGTCAGGAAGACCAAAGAGGAAATGTCTTGTCTGGCTGCAGGCTATGGCCACGACATCCATATGGGTTTAATCCATACATTACATTAGTGTGCCACATTCAGATCACAGTGTTGCATCATTCTTCTTCTTCTAAGTGCAGTTATACAGTAGGTGCTTGGTGTTGCAGTAGTTCGTAGGGTTGAGCAGAGTAACTGGTTCGGATAATGTCCTTTTCATATCATCCGAGAAAAACATGCCAATATCTGTACTCTGAAGATCAATCCTGAGACTGTCCTGTTAACAGTTTTCTAATCGGATCAGATCACAAGACGTTTTCACAGCGCCGTAACAAACAAACTAGGTCACTTGTAGGGCTGCTGTCAACTTCACTTGAAAGTGCTGATTTGAAACTCCCTCCAAGTTTTTGTTTGACGTTGATTGACTATGTAAAACTGGAGATATGACAGTTTTAATTTGATAGTACAAAAATATTTATCCATGCGTAAAATCTGGATGGGCAGGTCATTTTTTGTCATTTTACAAAATGGAAATCTACGTGATGAATATACCAAAGAGGTCTGATGTGGATTGGGGACGGGGCCAAAATCGCCGCACCTGAAGTCAACCGCGGGAGTTAGCGGCGGGAGCTAGTGGCGAGAATGTTTTAGTTGGAAGAAGAAAGAGTGTAATTTGGCATAGTTTGTACTGAAGAGTTGCAGCTGACAAGGTAAAAAAAAAAACGCCTATAAATATACATGTTTTTTAAGGGAAATATTTGTATATAGTTTTACTATATTTCAATTTTACCTTTATATGTTTATATTTGAACATGTTTGTGGTTTCTATTGTAATAAATAGCATATTTTTTTAATTCGGATTTGATGATTTTGGTGTATTTTTGGGCCCAATACGCTTAAAAAGTAGGTTCAAGTGAAAAAATAATTGTCAGATCATATAGGTGAAGGCAAAATCAACAGTATTCAAAAACGGCCAAAATAGGCTCTGAGGTCTAACGAAACAACTTTTGGTTAGGTTCCACCCACTTCCTGTTTAAGTCGCACCCACTTCCGGCTCAAACTGTACTGAGATTTCGAGAATAAAGTCGTAATATTACAAGAAAAAACTCGTAATATTATGAGAATAAAGTCATAGTTTTTAAGGAAATAACCAACAACAAACAGAATGGGTTAGAGGATGAACCTGGTTGTTGCAGCTACTCTTTGTCTGGGGTGCGTTGCCTCGACACGCACATTTGGAGTAATATTACAAGTTTTTTCTCGTAATATTGTGACTTTATTCTCGTAATATTACGACTTTTTCTCAGTTACGACTTTATTCTTGTAATATTACGACTTTTTCTCAGTTACGACTTTATTCTCGTAATATTACAACTTTTTGTCAGTTTCGTCTATTCTCGTAATGTTACGACTTTATGCTCGTAATATTACGACTTTTTCTCAGTTACGACTTTATTCTCGTAATATTATGACTTTTTCTCGGGACGACTTTATTCTCGTAATATTAGAAGTTTTTTCTCGTAATATTACGACTTTATTATCAAAATCTTTTTTTCTTCAATATGGCCCTAATACTCCGTCGTAAAACTGCCATCCCGAGTACAGATAATTTAGTTGGCTGAATAGAAACAGATAATGGTGTACTTGTTCATCCCTTGTAGTCAAGGCTGGGTGACATGGAGAAAATTGAACATCACAGTATTTGTGACCAAACACCTTGATATCAATATAATATGGAGCCCTGCAGTAGCTGGGTTTTAACCAAGCGACATGGACATATACTAACAAGTCAGCTTTCCAGGAAATGGCCTTGCTAACAGACAGACTATCATGCATCTGTAAATCCTTTCAACAAAAGGCTAAGGTAAGGGAGGATTACCAGTTGAGCAAAGTGGCTTCAGACCTCCAGGAATCCTTAAAGCCCCAGTTCACACTGTCGTAAAACAAGAACTTTAAGGCCACAGGACACATTTACATGTATCAGCAAGCATGAAACAGCAAATTTGGTGCCCTGGGGGCCCCTAATCGGATAATCCAGCCAGTGGGTGGAAGAGTAGGGCTTTTCATGAATTTACAAGATACTTGTTGACACTGTGAGAGCAGAAACTCTTCATTCATGCCACCTTTTAAAGCAAATTCAGCTGTGAAGTAAAGGAGACTTGACATATTTGAGAAGGCTAACTGCGCTGCCTATAAAAGAGACTGACTGGGTGAAAGCGACTGTATGATTTATTATTTATTTCACCCATTAAATCCACATCCAACCACAAAGGAGGGGAATCAAGGATACGAGACAGGTTCAGATTTCACACCTTGACACCTTTGGCACAGACGGCGCTAACATATCTCTTACAGTCGATCCGTTACTCCTATCTCACAGTGCCCAGGTGGTATTTCTTACTCATCCTACGAGGCAAACCGCTTCCAGCTGGTGCTGCAAGCTGATTAAAACAAATGCCCTGTTTGTCACTCTGGGGATAAACAGCAACAGGCGGCTTTCTCACCTTTGAAGTGTCCATCAAAGTACACAAAGGAAACATCTTTCCCCTTTTTCTTCCACTCGATGCGTGGGTTCGGGTCTCTCTCTGTGCGGAACGTGCAGGACAGCACCGCGTCTGTAAAAAGGGAGGCAATGAGATATTTATGGCAGAAAAGTGAAGCCTTCAATCAGAGGCATTTTTAACTGCTTGGTCTATTAATAGCCACATGGTTTATTCTGTCAGAGAGAATCTGATAAAGCAGCAGCTCCTCTGGGGAGAAATGACTCGACAGTGAGACGAGGCAGCCCGGAGATGAGCTGCTTTTTCTGGCTCACCTGAGAACTCCTGCACCTCCACCTTGTGTTTGTTGGTCGACACGGTGACAGGAGCAGAGGGGGAACCTGGTGGCGGTGGAGAGGAAGAGGGGAGGGAGAGTGGGAGATAAAGAAAAGAGGGGTGAGAGCATTTTCAGAAGGCAATATCGCTTGTCATCCATTAGGGGGCAAGGTGAATTGGGTAAAGTGCTCCACGTTGCCCGCCAACTGCAAGAGGAGAATGCTTAATGGCTGTCTTTGGTCTACTGTCTGAGACAGACACAACTGTCTCACAGTCTTCAGGAGATCTGAGGTAAGGCCAGGATTACTCCCTCTTCCGCTTTAATCCAGCAGGCTTAAGCAGCGTATGTTTACTTAAGCGCAGGTTAGGACAAGGTCACCAAGCATCTCACCAGAAGCTTGTCCAGATTAACCTGATGTATGAGGGGCATTAGCGAAGAGGCGGACGGCATGCTGCCCGTGTTTGTTTCCCCTGCCGTCTGTGTGTCACTGATACAACCCATCCAAACAGGAAGAGGAAGCAGGAGCTACCCTTCCTGTGTGCTGATTGGTTTACAGGACAGATTATTGTCTGGTCGTCCTGTTGTTAAATACAGGTTCAGCCTGGGTGAAGGTTACCTGAGGGGGAAAAGCAGGTTTGAAACACTCTCTGGTGCTGCACCAGTAACATCTCCCAAAGGTCTGCAACTTAAGAAAATGGGAAAAGATTTTTCGACTGAAGGCCATGCATTTTTGAAATTACATAATAAATGTTGAATGGGCCTCAGGGGTACTGACTCAGAACATTAAGGGCTATGAAAAACCTTTAACAAACTTTTAATTTGGCGTAGTGAAGACGTCACCTTCACATACTCTTGAAAGCAAAAAGCTTAAAGGTCCAGTGTGTAGGTAGGATTTAGGGGGATATATTGGCAGGAAATGGAATGTAGTGTGTTTTCTTGAACTGTATAATATACATTACAATGAGCCGTTTATATACAAGTTACGTTAAACTACTTTATTAAATGTTTTTACCGGTTTAAATCACTGGGTCCATTTGTTTGAGAGGAAGAGTCTTATGTGGATAATTCGACTCCTGCTAAAAATCACCTGAAAGTCTGGATCTTAAGTTATCAGAGAGAAAAGGTGAGCACAAATAAGCAGGTGCTTGGCTAGCATCCCGTCTGACATGCCAAACACCATCTGAGAAACATTGATTTGTGCATGAAACTGCTTTATTCAGCATTTTTACCGGTTTAAATTTCAGGTCTGTTTGTTTCTGAGAGGAAGAGACTTCTGCGGATAATTCGGCTCCCTGTAACAACCTCCTGAACAAAGAACACTGAAGAAATTCTAACCAGGAGAAGTTTCAGCTGGTTGCAATCTGCAGTCCTCATCACTAGATGCCTCTTAATTCCCCTAAATCTTACACACTGGACCTTTAATAACTCCCCACAAAACACACTCTCTCTCACACACACACATTTACTTTTCCTGCCATTGTCTCTGCAAATGGCATGATGCATACAGATCTCCCAACTTAAAAACATACTAGAATTACCGTGACCAGTTTCCTGTTTGTCAGTAACTTCCTGTGTGGGCCCATTGTCAGTGGACTGAGTTACAGGAGTTTTCTCCTGTGGAGGCAGGGTGACGTGGAAGAATAGAGGGCAAGTTGAGACAAAGGGCAGGAAGTGTGTTAAAGAACAGGAAGGCAGCCATGTTGGATGACCATACAAACTGGATCTCATGAGCACACCCAAAGGTCTCTCTCGCTCTTATTTCCAGCTATTTTTAAATTAGCCTTTAAATAAACAACAGGCTATACAATAATAATGGCGTCTGCCAAATGCATCATTACGCAAGTTTTTTTTAAAAGCTTTTCCTGAAGTTGGCTCAATTTACACCAGCTCCACTTGCTCAAACTTTGAGCTAAGTGAATTAAAACTGCACACTCTCCCTCCAGTCGCTCCCTCTTCCTCTTGCTTTGCCGTGTGTTGACTTGCGGCAGTGTAACAGGATTATCATCGTAGCCTTGGCTCGCGCACCTCGACACCCTCTGAGGAGCATTGTCTCGCTAAAGGATGAACATGACGAAGGAGGGAGATACAATGAGATTAAAAAGGGACTAGGAGGGACGACAAAGGAGAGATGAGCGGCCCTAAGAATAGAATACAAATGAAGTGGAGTGGAGGAGAGTGAGGCGGGCGGAGGTTGGCGGAAGGGGGGGCAGAGACCCGCAGAAGCATGAATAAAAGAGAGAGTGGGATTGAAGGCGAGGGAGATCCTCTCAGACAGTGGGACTGTGAATGGGAGAAGCTCTTGTCACATAGTGTGAGACCAGGCCTGCCGCCACCTTGAAGGGTGTCTCTTTGAGAAAAAAGAGATGTAGCAGGGCTGACAACATGCCCGCACTTTACCGCCGCGTTGACTGACGCGCACGAAAGCACACACATCAAAAAATGAGCAAAGAGACTCTGCATGTGAGGTCCTGCTGCCCCTGTGTCGTGCCTCGCTGTGCTCTACTACTATGAGCACTGTCAGCTTCAATGGCCTCAATTAACTACAAAGGCGTCGAGGCAGACAATGAACACATGGCCTGTCCGGATCATTTCACAAGTGCATGGTGGGTAATGTTCATACAGTGCAGCTTTCTAAATAAAAAGGCCTGCTGTCTGAAAAAGTCAACAGGAAATGTTATTCATGTTTAGAGACAAATGTGTGCTAACGTCTAGAAGTTGACCCACTGAGCTCTGGATGTCCCTTCAGTGTCATGTCTCTGTTTTTAGCCACGTGTCACTCAGAGTTTTTTGGCTGTATTGTCCAGTAAATGCATGCATCGTAACCGTCACCGTATGTGACTGTTCAGGAAGTGAACAAGGGTTTCTGCGTCATCCATCCTGACTTGAACGCAACTCGAGAGTTTTCAAACTTAAACAAGGTCAGCAGTGTTTCCGAAGGTCTCCATTTAGGGGGTTCAAAACGCCGTAGTGTGGATGCTATATGTATCAATAGTCATGTGTCTTAAAACTTAAGTGTTGTATTGTGGATGGAGCCTAAAATGTCACTAATTTGAACCCTCAGTCGCACAAGTGAAGGAGGTTTTTAAACACACAGTTGACCCACTGAACTCTGGATGTATCTTCAGTGTCATGTCTCTGTTTTTAGCCACGTGTCACTCAGAGTTTTTTGGCTGTATTGTCCAGTAAATGCATTGATTGAAACTACTGTTGGGGGGCAGTTTCATAACCGTCAGCATATGTGACTGTTCAGGAAGTGAACAAGGGTTTCTGCGTCATCCATCCTGACTTGAACGCAACTCGAGAGTTTTCAAACTTAAACAAGGTCAGCAGTGTTTCCGAAGGTCTCCATTTAGGGGGTTCAAAACGCCGTAGTGTGGATGCTATATGTATCAATAGTCATGTGTCTTAAAACTTAAGTGTTGTATTGTGGATGGAGCCTAAAATGTCACTAATTTGAACCCTCAGTCGCACAAGTGAAGGAGGTTTTTAAACACACAGTTATTTCAGCTCGCTGAGTGTCGGCACAATTGGCTTTGAGGAGCAACAATGAGCCAGAACTGGCCCATATCAGGCTGCCGGATTAGTTTCTGTGTCAGTAGTGCAGACTGATTTGGGTTTAAGGCACGGTCGCCCTCTGAGGAGATATTTCTGCTGGGTGTGACGCATATGGAAAGCTAGTTTGCTAGCTAACATTAGCTAGCTTGCTAATAAATACTGCAAATTCAGATGTTACTGGTATGTTTTCTTACGTTCTACGCGTGTCTCCTGACTCACTGCCAGCCAGGCAGCATATATCATACTGGGCAGTTTGTATTTTTCATGGCACATATCTTAGAATATCGGCTGGTTAAACAGAGCAACAATGGTGTTCCAAGAGGTTTCTACCTCTTGCTCAACAGAAAGTGCCACATGTAGACCAAGTCCTTTGCAGAGGTCAAGTTTCAATTCCTATTATTTTTCCCCTTTCCTGTCACTCCCCAGCTGCTCTTCTATAAAGGCAAAAGCTCTAAAAAAAAATTATCTTAAAAGAAACTTCTTTGTTATTTGTTGAGGCCCTGACTCTGCTGGTCAACGTTCACCAAAGTTGGGATCATTTTATACTCCCCTAACAGTAGGCAAATATTTGCCAATGTTAATTTCGCTCATGTACAACCTTACCCTAAAAATCAGCTGCAGTCAACATCCAGATTTGGACCATCATTGGCACCAGAAATTTGCCCAAGATTCTGTCGTCAACCATCAAGGTGATTCCAGGAAAACAGATATGCCAGACTTAGGCCAGGTTGAGCCGAGCACCTGAGAAGCTACCAAAACTGAAGGCCTAATCAGCTCATGTGGCGTTAGTTTAAAAAGGTACGCTATGCAGGATGGTAACTGAAAACGCGCTCGCCAATGAAAGCAAAAGTCACTCTCTTTCGGCATTTCACCTCGCAATATTTGTGTATTTCCGCGCTGTGTCTCTTGGATGCCTGCTGCTCACAGTCTAGCACCTGGTCGCTACCTTTTTATAAAGCCCAGATCTCACCTGAGTGAGCAGCCATAAATGTCCTGAGCACAGAAAAGGAAAATAAGGAAGAGTCTCTGCAGATAAACACACCACCTCACACTCCTAGCTGGTTATAAGTGATGATTGAGAGACATTACATCTGTATGACATTGTTTTTTGGGGAAAATCCTGCACGGTCTGTCTTTAAGTAGATTTTTAACGAGTATGAATCACAAACTGAAAATGGGTGCTGGAATATGCTTATATAGACTTTTTTTAGAATAAAGTCTTTCATGTGCCTCACAGCAGGAGGTCTCTGATGGTCCTCCAACATGGCATCAGATATGGCCACTAAGGTAATTAAAATGCGTCTGTGATAGGCCCATTGTGGCTCTGAAGCACAAATAACATCTAGACAAAGGCGTCAACACAGACGAGCTACAGACAAAAACACGCACGCGCGCACACACACCTAGTGCATGGCATCAACATCAACCAAACACTGCGACAGCTTAAACTCGCAGAGGGACAGCCACCCTCTCGCCTGAGCAAAAATAGAAAGATGGCACGCTCGCTCCTTGGCACGCAGCTTTACTCTCATTACGTGTCCGTACAGAGTGTTACAGAGACTGGGGTGGGTGTTGCCAGGGCTGTGCTGAGGTCAAAAGCATGGCGCAGTAATAATTAAGGCACTTATTCAAATTAACAGGACAAATGAAAGAGGAAGGGAGATGGAGCCGTGGTACATATCCTGCCCGGCTGCTGTGTGATATAGATAACATGACTGGCACACACGTTTCAAGGCTGTGGGGGTACGGAGAGAAACAAGAAGGACTGAGCGTGTGTGTTCTCCATTTGAACAAAGCCTCTCTGTATGACTGTAACCCTGTGAGCAACAGCTGTCTCAGGCAGACACGGTGTGTGAGTGTGTGTGTGTGAGGTTGAGGAGGTTGGGTCGCCTGCCACAGAGACCCACCCAAAACATTTCCTCTTGGATTTTTTAAACAATACACTCCACAGGCGTCCAGTGGAGCCGAGGCAGATTTGAAGCTGCTCTGTTAAACTGTTGACGTCCATCTCTGTGCCACACGATGAGTGATTGCTGTCAGGTTGTCCACAGCGGGAGTGGACACACAAACACACACACCTCTGTGAACTCGTGACCTGGTGGCCTGACAGGTGGCAAAATGTGGACAACACAGAGTAAAAATCTGCATCACTCACTCTCACTGTCTCATCACATCTATCTCACACTGCTACTGCTCCCATGGAGCCCAAAGACACATACACTGCTTCCTTTTTTTTTCCATCAGGGAAAGTTAGGTGCCTTTTTGTAATTTAAAGAAACAGCTTTCCTCCCGGTGACATCCCCGCCATGAAAACACCTCATCACCAGCAAAAACAGGCTGAAGTTCCTGGTGGTAATCCAACCGCTGACCTCATGCACAGATCTGCCACCTCTTCTGCCAAAGAACGGGTGCCCACCCGCCACCACCATGCCGCCCACACCCATCGGTGGCACCCAGCCAAGTGCAACTTTAAGGGCCAACTTGTAGGAAGCCAGCCTGGCTGCGAATAGTCGCCACAGAGGGGCTTTAACTAAACAGGGGGACTGCGGAAGAACACGAAACAAAGAATAGTCGTTCATATTCTAACTTTAAATGTTTAAATTCTGCCACGAAAAATTCCAAATGGATCTTTTTAGGAAGAAAAATACATAAAACAATCAGAACTTTTTGAGTCTAGAGCAGTGGTTCTCAACCAGGGGTCGTTTATGGAGTTACGGGGGCCACCAGAAAAATGGGGATTAGTTTATTTCCAATATTTAAATCCCAGTGTGAGTACGGATCATAGGTTACCAAATCTTTTCAGACAGAGGTCCTTGAAGCCTCATCTTATCACATAGGACCTCTCTTTGATATGATTTTGCTTCAAGGACCTCCATGTACCCTAATGTGATCAATTTAGGGGTCCTTGACTGAAAAATGTTGAGAGCCACTGGACTAGAGCCCAAATTAAATGACTTTTTCGCAGAGTATTGATCCCAGCACATCCATGGACAGTTAGGATTAAAATGACCATAAATAAACAGTGATCAGAGCAGTTAAATTACACTGGAGCTGCTATCTAGCACTTTACTCACCTATTCCTATGGTTTATCTCATGGGGACAAGTAGGAAAACACACACAGATAGTTCTTCTGAATAAATAGTTGTCACTTACATTGCATCAGTAAAATAACAATAGGAAGATACAGGGACGTCCCCTCCATTATCGTCCACAACTCTGGCTGAGTCTCGTCTTCCCCGGACGGCGCGATGAGGCAGATCCCGAGCCTCAGCTGTCTTCTCGCACTTGTTCACAACTCTCCAATAATTCATCCAGCTTCCAGGGAATGAACTGTTCTCCAGGGGGAAGCGATCGGACCGGCCCGGCGCGGAGCGGAACGGAGCGAATCGGAGCGGAGCTGCTGGCAGGCGGGCGGATGAGCGGGGCGCACCTCCGGGACGGATCGGTCAGAGAAGCTGGAGCCCTGGGTGAGAGGTCTGGCTGGGGGACGGCGCGGCTCGGTTACTATGAAAGGCGCGGATGAATGTCTTCTCTCCTCCTGTGGTGCGGTTTCGGCGCTGGTTGAGGTGGAGATGGAGGTGGAGGGAGGGCGGGGTGTGCTTTCAGACGAGCAGAGCGGCGGAGCGCCGAGAGCGCAGCGCCGTGTCCAAGACGCGCACTGCACTACCAAGTGGCCACATAACGGGAGGCAACTGGGTATGGCAACAAGGTGTGGCACGCATCATACCTTTGTCTGAGCGGGACCCGGCGTGAACATAATGGCTTTTTAAAATATCGGCCTACGGGATGGCGCATTTAAACAGACTGAGCTCCTGTTTCTAATCATTTAGGGACTGATCTACAAGTTAGGGAAATATTAGAGTTCATCTTTCATCCTCTACAGTCTGAGGGGTTTATAACTTATAACTAATGTATTTATTAATAGTTAACAGATAACAAGGCATTAATTAAAAACAGCTTTCGGGTATCCAGGTTTTGGAAAAACCCCTTTAACTGATATATTTGATACACAGATAAATTAAAGTGCTGCCACAGCAGGGCCGTAACCACCAATTTAACACTGGGGGGGACCCAGCCCTCCAGGGGGGCCTGGGGGGAATTTACCCCAGGAGAAATTTTTTAGAAATTTAACAGCTAAACAGACCATTTTGAAACAAAAAAAACTTAGATGAGGGGTTCTCAAAGTTTTGACGACCAAGTGCCCCCCCAGAACACTTGTGCGTGTGTGGAACAACTGTGTTGTATCCATTCATCCATTTTCACCCGCTCATCCGGGGCCGGGTTGTGGGGGCAGCAGGTCGAGCAAAGCACCCCAGACGTCCCTCTTTCCAGCAACGCTTTCCAGCTCCTCCTGGGGGACCCCAAGGCGTTCCCAGGCCAGATGAGATATGTAATCCCTCCAGCATGTTCTGGGTCTATCCCAAGGCCTCCTACCAGTGGAACATGCCTGGAACACCTCCAACAGGAGGCACCCAGGAGGATCCTGATCAGATGCCCGAACCACCTCAACTGACCCCTTTCGACGTGAAGGAGCAGTGGCTCTACTCTGAGCTCCCTCCGGATGTCCGAGCTCCTCACCCTATCTCTAAAGCTGAGCCCAGACACCCCACGGAGGAAACTCATTTCGGCCACCTGTATCCGCGATCTCATTCTTTCGGTCACTACCCAGAGCTCATGACCATAGGTGAGGGTTGGGACGGAGATGGACACGATGGACCGGCGCAGCGCCTGCATCACTGCAGAAGCTGCACCAAATCAAAGTTAATGGTATCGTGAGAAGACGTCAAGAATAAGATTAACTGTTAACAAGTTGGCAATTTTGGCTCTCTCTGCTCCATATTGAACCTTCCATGTTATGGCCACATGTCCCACATTTTGTTGATTGACTTTTCCAACAAATGCTTCAATTTTTTCTCGAGGTATTAATGATTGAATAAATTTTCTGATTCAATGATTCCACAGATCTTCATTTTGGATCACTGCTGAAATTTTAAAAAGCTGCAGAAATAAAGACAGTATAGTGTTTGACATTCGTTGTACCCAAAGCAGTTGTGCATAAGCTGATTATACTGCTCTACAAATAATTAATGACACTTAATAGCCACTAATTACAACTTTATAAAGGATTCCCTGTTAGAATGTGTTACTGTAATACTGATTGACAAAGAGCTGCATTAATATTTTGTGTACTGAAGTGTATGAAGGTTTTAGAGTCTCCATGTGACAAAGCTATAAAATAGTAAGCACTGAAACTGGAATTTAAATTTCAGCTTGAACACCCTGCCCTTCAAATTTGAGATTTTGTTTGTATATAGCAGAAGTTTTTAGACTACTATGATCTTGAATGACAAAAATAAATCTAGCCTTAGATCCTTAGACCTGAAAGAGTTTAAGTCTTGTATCAAATGGAGGACAAAATATGACCTATCCATTAATAAAACGTGAGAGATAAATGAGGTTACCAGCACCGTCTTAGAAGAGAAATGCAGTATGATCAGTTTCTGTCTTTAGTGAGGAGCTCAGCACTGATCAGTGACGGGTAATTGTTGCAGTTGTTCAGTGCCGAGATAAGAGAAAGAGAAAACAGACCAAGTCCTGCAGATCAATGACTCCCCAGTGAATTACTATCGACTAAACACGTGTTAAGACTGAACACTAGATAAGCCAACACTAAGACTGCCTTGACAACCACTTTCACTGACTCCAATCAGTCCTTCTGATATGAAATGCACTGAGGGAATCTCTGGGGTGACTTCACTGTTGACCACGTACTTTGCAAGCTCTTTAGCAAGAAATGAAAAACAGAAACTCATCATAAATTCATCTTTAGGAATGCATTATTCCAGAGTGTTTTAGTCGCTATTCAAATTTAATCATGTTTGAGCAGCGGCGTCGCCGGCACAGCAGTCATTGCTAAACATCTCTCAAGCACCACGGCAGCGAGGAATTCGGGGCACCGATTCAAACATCTCAATTGGTGCTGGTGGTGTGACTGTGCTCTCTAAGTCCGAGGCATATGTCCTTGGGTGTGTCTCACACGTTGTCAGTGTGTGTTGGGGTGGGGGTAGTGGTGGCGGTGCTAGGATGCTTGAGTGGAAGCAACAGCTGCACAGCAGCTAAGTTTTCCGACCTGAGGCTTTGCTCAATCTTCAGCCGTCTCATGATGGGGACTGATACAGTTAGACTGTGATTAAAAGGTTCTCTGTCACTGAGAAGCAGAATGTGGATGATGCGAACGTAGAGGGGATTTTAATGCTACCTGTAGATCATGTCTCTTTATTGTCCGAAGACACGCAAGAGCTTGAATGTCAGACAGGGATCGGTAACAAACAGTTGGGGGAGGGGGAAAGTCTGGTGGAGCTGCACCATTTTCTTCATGTTATTGGTGGTAAAGCTTTATAAAAAAAGAGGTCAGGGTCTGTGTATTTCCCAAAATGTTGAATTATTCCTCAAATAAAAAATTGACGAATTCTTCATAGATGAGTTAGAATCCACGATTATGTTTATGGATCGTCTTAAGACACCAGGAAGTCAAGGACACAAGCAGTTCTGGTGCCAGCACAGACTGCAAATCCTTTCCAGCCTATAGGAAAAGAATCCAGGCACTCCAAACAAAAATGAGAATGAGGAAGGAAAGATTAGGTTAAAAAACATGTTGGCTTTTTAATGAGTTGGCTATTATATTAAAGCCTTTTTAATCTAATCTTTCCTTCTTCATTCTCATTTTTGTTTGGAGTGCCTGGATTCTTTTCCTGTTTGCAGTATTTTGGAGTTCCCTCTTTTTTTTCCAAGAGCACCCGATACATTTTTGGATCTACACTCTACAACACAGAGCAACCAGTTATCTGTTTTTCTACCTTTCCAGCCTATACTGAAACTCATAACACTTACTCTGAATTTGTTACCTGCAAAATGTTCCAAAAAGTTAGGGTAGGGGCAACAAAAGACGAGGAAAATTGTGGAGTATCCTAAAAACCACCTAAAACAGTAGACAGTTCATTGGTTACATATTAAGTATCATTGGTTATGAACAGTGGTGTAGTGGTAATTGATGAGGTGGGTGTGCTACTAGGTAGATAGGTAGGTTACTGATGAGGAAGTGGGCGTACTCTCCTATACATTACAATGGGTATACTGTAACTGGATAGAAAAAGAAGTGGGTATACCCCGTATACCTGAGTATACCCTCCACCACACCACTGGTTATGAAAGGGGCATCCTCCAAAGGCTCGGTTATGAAACAAGAAAGGACGGGACGAGGTACGCCACTGAAAAAATGCATCAGCAGCTAGTCCAACAGTTTAAGAACAACTTTTCTTAAAGCACAGTTGCTTCAAATTTCAGGATTTTACTGTCTACAATCCATAATATCATCAAAAGATTCAGAGAATCTGGAGAAATCTGACTGCACTGCATTAAAAACCAACGTGATTGTATAAAGGGTATTACTACATGGGCTCGGGAACACGAAAACCATTGTCAGTACCACTGTTCGGATGCTACCACGCAAAGCGAACGCTATTTATGAGCAACATCCAGAAACATCACAGACCGGGCCCGAGCTTGTCTGCACAACTGTGAAGACACCATGAATGCTGAAATGTACCCACAGGTTTTGGAGTAACATATGCTGCCATCCAGACGTCTTTTTGAGAGACGTCCCTGCTTATTCTGGGTTGTGCTTTGTAACAAAATCAACAATGTTGTTGAGCAGACATTTGTGTCTCAACCATAAACTCTATATAAAGATGGATAAGGAGTGATCGGACGTTGAACCGCTCTATCGAGGCACGCACGGCTGTCAATCTTAACGTCAAACCCCCTTTTTATCGCTTTAAATAACTAATTAAAACCAAACTTTTCAGAAAGACAAACACCTGAACAAACAGTAGCGTGATAAGAACTGCCTAAGATGACAAAAAACATCATGGGAAACATGTATTTGATGTATACTTTGATGTTTCAGTGTGGCCCATGTCCCATCTGCTAACACGTGTCGAAGTGGCTCGAAAAACGGACGTCGATGCTAAATGCAGACAGCCTTATGGGAAACCTCGAAGCCTCGCAATCACAAAACGAGCGAGACGCAGAAACAGCAGAAGAACCTAATGAAAAGGAAGAACCCCACATGCCCATTCTACCACGAACGCTTTGTCGCTCTGAACAAGAACAGGAGCTGAACAAAGCTTTTCCATCCGAGAACGAGATATTAACTGAGCAGGACAACTTTGCTGTTGCCATGGACGGACACGAGCCAGAGCCTGATGACACAGGGTTACCAAGAGTGTTTAAGCTCATCCTGTTGGCACTGAATCCCCTAAGCGAGCTGCTTGAGATTTTCGGACTTTTTGCATTTTTACCTCCAGCCTTATTCTTCAGAATCCAAGGAATTTATGAGTAAAAGAGCAGTTTTCTGTGCTTATTGTAACGGATTTAAGGGTCTCTTAAATAATCAAACAGCCTCTCCTCTGTGATGTAAAAGTCAGGTCCATAGACGAAGGCCATTATCTGTCGGTCTAGACTCAATAATTAACATTTCCCTAGCAGCAAAAATATACTTACAGCTTAAATAATTGCCAGCAACCACTACAACTTTTACATTTTAGAAAGGAGCTGCCGTTAACTAAAGTGTTCTCTCTAGTATTTCATGTCCAAGCTACTATGAGTGCTAGTGAGAAGGCAGCAGGGAGGACTTCAGGAAGAAGATGGTTAATAGCTGGATCAATCACCTTCGCAACAGTCTATGTATTGATTAGAAACTTGCACTGTGGGTGAACAGGCAGGCTAATCTTTTCCATTTTAATGGGAAGGCTGGTCTAGAGTTGAGAGGGCGATTGAGATATTTTCGTTTCACACTCACCATTATTTTAATTATCAATTAGTTTGGCAATGAGTTAGCAGATTTCTAGATCAACATATACGGTCTAAAATATGCCAGAAAATAGACACCACTAAGCAATTCTTTACAATTTGAGGCAAAATAGTCGCATGTTCACATTTTGTCAATAGACAAAAATGTTCATTGTTTGAGCTCTACTCACCTCTTTCCCATTGAATAACAAGTATTAACAGTCACAATAAAGCACGACATCCGCAATGTCAAGACTTTTTGTCAAGAGTTCTGGTGACCAAATAAGTTGCACTTATTAAGGGCTAGGGCTGCCACTAACAATTATTTTCACTGTCGACTAATCTGTCGATAATTTCTTCGATTAGTCGACTAATCATTTCATTGAAAAATGTGTTAAAATGTTGAAAAAAGTCG